ACAATAAAGTATTATTATCCTGTTCTTTACAAATATTCCCCCCCCTAATAAAAAATGACAGTAAGCTTGACTCCCTGTTCTGAAAGGGGTTTGATAATAGATCTAGTCACTGAAGCTCTGGAGGCTAATAAATACCTGCACTGTGGTTAAACATTTACAGTCTTATCTAGTAGGCTAGTGAAAAAAAAATGATACAAGTTCACTTATCTTTAGCAAATAAAACATATTTATATTTTACATTATTTGCCTACAATACACTTATACTAGATTGCCTGCTTTGAGACACTTCTTTATGTGCAGAAGTATTGCACTATATTAAATAACCTGGGCCCATGAACAAACAGTGACGTTTTATCTTTGGGTGGTCATATTTTGTTTTAATCTCATTGTCAATTACAGATCAATAGGAAAAATGTACAAGACCAGCATGTGAACCTGACTTCTATCATGAAAGAGTCATAGCTCTTTCCTCTTTCTAGGCAAAATCAAGTTATGATGGGCAGGTATTACTGTATCACCTGATTGGAATATTAACTACAAAAAAATAAAGCAGAATCTTTTTTTGGCCATGACCAGGAGCAGGCAGAGAAAACACATTGTGCAGTATGGATTTCCTTCATAATGTTTTTTAATTATATGACTGTTCAATAAGTGCAAAATATTATGCATCCACTGGAACTGGAATATCTCATGGTCCCTGAATTTTGAAAAGAGAATGTTGACTACTATTCTAAACTGACTGATAAACCAGAGTATGGAAAATGCTGTATGTTTACCATAAATCAACGTCAATAAGTAAAATCGGGAATTGTATGGTATCACGGTATCACACCAAAGTACATATTTAGATTGCTAGTTTAGTGATTCACATATGTATTCATGTGATGTAATTCTTATGTAATTGTAAACTCTTAAAGCAGTACTACACTGCACCTGAGCACTACAAACCAAAAATGCTATTTAATTAATTTGTAATATTCAAAGCAAACTTCCCCACCCATCCATCCACTTTGAATAACACCCCCTAGCATTTCTGGTCATGGCCATGTTGAGTGTGGGCAGATGATTCATGTGGCATTTATTTCCTGGAATCCATCTGCCCTTAACTCAGGCATGCAGGCAGGAGGGTGTGCTTAGCTGAGAAAAATCCTCCTCCCTTCCTGAGAAAAGAGGGGGGATATAGCACAAGAGGTGTCACCATCCCTGAAAGCATACAGTATGATATGACCTATATATTTTGCTAGACAAATCCAGTGACACACTTAAAGGCATGAATACATTTGTTGAGCACTTGGTCTTTGAACGTTTTTGAATATCTTTGTTAATATTTTTGCTTTTTATAGGCAAACAATCCAGAAATGGTCTTTTCCTTTCCTTGAGAAACTCTCTTTGGAGTTTTTTGGAGTTAAGTCACCTTTACCCCCCTTTTTTCCCAGTAAGTGGATTTATAATTGCAAAACGATCAGTGATGCTTTATTCTTGTTGGCATATCTTTATTACCTTTATTACCCATACTTATATGTGTTATTATTTATTCAAACACAGCACCATCTCATCAGTATCCTTGTGCAGACCAATATCTGGTTTGCCACTGGTGTGGTTGGGCGGCGCCCCTCCAGGGGACGTTTGAACAGCTGCTATAATTTTCTTTCTCTGCGTTCTCTGATCATCATTGCTGTGAGAGGCTTCTGAATATCCTTGGCTGCATCCATGGAAATTAATGCTTTTTAATTCTCTAGCGGTTCATTTCTATTTTCCCTGCCCCCATTAGGGGCCATGAAAGTGTTTAACTACACTCCAAATTGAAAATATCTATATACAAAGACATATACTGATATATATATTTATTGCAGGCATCATGCCTTTTGAGCACCTCTGAGGAAGAGACGACTGGTCTCGAAACGCATCAGTTATAACACATGCATGACTGATCTTCCATTATCAGTACTAAGTCATCAATTCTTGATAATACCGCCACAATTTTTGTACTGCAACCTGTTATGTCCCTTTTCAAGATTGCATAAAATAAAAATTGATTGTCTTCTCTACTGTCTCCTCCCTTCCTGAAGACTTCTGGGATGTATGACATCATTTGCCTAAGCATGGAAACTAGGAAGTAACTGACAAAATGTAGAAAAACTTTAAAACGAGTAAATATAATATATACTTCCCTATCCATTTACTAATGCTAGCAGCATAAGGATTCAAAATAATCAATGTTGATAGACAGAGTGAAGTTCCGCTTTAAGCTGGCCATACGCCAATAGTCACTTTCATTCAGCCTATACAGTGTTGATGAACTTATCACATGCTGTGCTCTTTGATTAGATGCAGGTGTTTTTGGGACATCTATTTTCTGCCTCTCTCCTTCAAGTTTTCAATCAAGGGATTTTGGGTGCAAAGCAGCTAATAGGGCTACCCGCTGAGAGTACAGTGTATGGCCAGCCTTAGCATTTTATGCAACCATTTCTGTGGTGCCTATGGAGCAACTGCTTTTTTGTTTTTGTCTGAACAAAGCAAAATTAAAGTCCGCAATACTTAACTCTGCTTCAAAGGTCTGATGCCTGCAAGGACCCTGCCCAGTGCTAGCACCTTCTCTCCAGGTGTCAGTCTTCGGCCATCTTGATTGGCTGGTGCAGGATAACATCCCTCCCATGTATGCACAGGAGTTATGTCACCCTGACATGCAGGCACTTTGTTGACCTATAAACTGAGCTGCTCATGCACAGCTCAGTGTACATTCTACAGAAGCAAGCAGGTAGCTTTATTTTATTATAGAATAAACATTGAGGTTTATTTACTAAAGCTGGATAGTGCAAAATCAAGTGCACTTCTGCATAGAAACCAATCAGCTTCCAGGTTTTATTGCCAAAGCTTAATTAAACAAGATGAGGTTAGAAACTGATTGGCTACCATGCACAGGTGCATCAGATTCTGAGCAAACCAGCTTTAGTAAATCCCCCATTGCATCTCTTTTGCAATAAAGAATCTGGCTGCTTGCAATTTTTTTATGTTTGATTTTAGTTCCACTTTACATTTTGCCTCTCTTATCTTTTAGGCAGTCTGCATTCTTGATTTTCATAAACATTTTTTTTTGCTTTTAGTGGGCTGCTAATTTTAGGAGTGTGTGATGGTGTAGTTCAAGGTTTCTCAGCAAGTTTTCCATGGAACACTAGAGCTCCTCCAGAGGTTGCTAGGGGTTTCTTGAGCAATGAGCATTTTCTGCCTCTCAAAAAAAAATTCCCACTGACACCATTGGTCTTTTAAGTTATCTATATGGGGTAATCCTTCCCAATGACCATAAGTGTAAGGCGCATTCTTCCCAGTGACCATCACACTAATGTATCAGGAGTTGTAGGTTTAGTCATTTTTAGCAGGGTTTCCCTGAGACTGAAAGGTAATTTCAAGTGTTTCTCTGTGTTGAAAAGGTTGAGAAAGGCTGGTGTAGTTTGTTGAAAACGACAAAACTTTTCAATAAAAGCATATGAAATAAAAAAAAGTGATTTTTTTTTTTCTGTAAGTTTTGTTTAAGTGGAAAAGTATCCTGTTATCAGTAATCCAGGATTGCCTTGAAAGGAGTCACTAGCTAGTGGTCACGGTCTGAGCCGTCAGCTGTGCAGTATGTAGAGTATTATATATAGCCCAGCACACACTGGGAATAGGTAGTAAGCAGCAGGCGTGACTGGCCTGCTATGGGAGGGAGGATCACAGTCCAGGGAGCAGTGGGGGAGTTGTCCAATTCAAGCTGTCAAAAGTTAGTCACAAAGTCACACAATATTCCTGAGCCTGTCACAGCGGTGTCACTGCCTCTGTCATGTGCCTGGCACAGCACTTTATCTTTGGACTCACAACAGTAGCTAGCCAGCAGCTTTTTCTTGGGGCAGCTTGATGAACTGGTAAGGACGACTAGTTTTTTCTTGCAAATGTTACTCCTCTCTGCATGTAGTGATATATTTAGCATACACAACACTTAGAAGGATAGCTGAAGATCACTAAAAGTCTTTTACTATAGCACCTAACCACTTATAGCAAATTAGAGTGGTACAGTTAAGAGTAGCTTCTTCAATGACAAAAGACTGGGACTCCCCTTTTTTAAGTCGGTGGACATTTTAAAGTATTGCCCAAAAAAAGTTAATTTTTTTTGTTTTGGATAGAGTAGGAAAGGGATCAAGCTCTATTAGGGTTACATTGCTGTCTGTAATGTCTGCTGTCACCTTCTCTATTTGTCCTTGTGACCATTGTTAAGGGTAAATTAACACTACAACGGACAACTACCAGAGCGATTTACCGCACTGGCAGCTGTACATTACCGGCTGTGTTTTGCACAAACTTCATGTGAAGTGTACAAAACGTACACGTCATTCATAGAGGTGTACAGCAATGCGATGCACTGTGGTGCTGTACATTGCCATGCGATTCAGCATGGTGCGCTGCGATCACAGCCTGCTTCAGCGCAGCTCTAGGTTGTGTTGCAGTGTGAATGGGACACACAGGAAACAATTGTTGCCTGTGTGTGCTTACAATGCAGTAAAATGTCTCTCTCCACAGTATGTGTGAATTCAGCCTTAACTGTTAAAAAATCTAAAAATTTAAAGTTGTCACTAAAACAAGAATACAGAGGAAAGCATCCGACAGACACAAAAGCAGTAAAGAACTATAAGGCACAGACAGCAAAAAAGGGGGGTTTTAACCTTTCTCAAATAAATAAATAAATAAGTTTGCCCTGTGAATATACTTTAACTGTTTCCATAGAGAGAGACCGATGTCCTTTCTAATTCCAAGAAAAATTGGAACACCTCTGTGCTGAGAGTAATACTAGGATATAATCCAATGTACCTTCTGCTGCTTCGTTATAAAGTTTCTGCATCGTCATGTTGGGAACTAATGCAGTATAAATACCCAGAGGGTGTGTTTAGAAGTGTTCTGATAGCTCTTTTATTGCTCAATACTTTGTGTAATCTCAGCGTTTGTATTACCTGTTTTTATTTTGCTTAGACACCATGAGCTGCTACAAAGACACCATGGACAGCACTGACAAGCCCTGCTTTGCAGAGAAATACCAGTACAGCTTGCCACTACTTAAACCCTTTCGCACTACCAAAAGGTAACTGTATTTGATTAATCTCAGTAAGAAACTGAGTGTGTGTGGCATTAATCTTTTGATTGATAGCTTCATAGTACGTACTTGCTTTTACAATCATTATTAGAGATTTGCTGTAAATCAGCTAACTCTTTCAAAGGCATTTTTTAAAGGTGCATTTACAATCTAAAAAAAAAAGGAATGTGTAAAAGAAAATTTGATTGATAGCTATATATTATATACTTGCTATTATAATCATTTTCAGGGTTTTGCTGCAAAACAGCAAACTCTTTTGGTGCTCTTTTTTTTAAAGGTGCACTTACTGTTTAAAGTAGAATTTCAAACACATATTTTAAAACTTATCTGGTTCAGTTATGGATTTTATTAACAATGTCAAATGTGTTTTAAGATAATTCTAGTGTATTAAAGAAAGACCTGTTTTGGTTTTACCCATCCATGATGCCTTGGATACCTAAGGCATCTTGCAAAGAAGGTATAAATCACCTATAGAGGGGAGATCTCAGAGTGCTGGGATAGGTCACCGACTCACCATAAGTTTAAGTGGTGGGGTCCTCGGAAGCTGGAGTCATATCAGGAAAAAATGTGTTGGGGACCAAGAGAGGCCACCTAAAAAAAGGCTTAAAGGAGAACCAACCATGGTGTAACCAAACCAAACAACTTTTTTGAGATCAAAATTAAATAAAATTAGGCCAAATGGCCAACAATCCTCAAATCACTGTTAAAATAAGGTTAGATAACATTATCACCTTAAAATACAAGCCCAGGCACCACACATCCACTCACATACACTGCAATGCATTAACTAGGTCTCATAGAGAGCATAAAATGACAGGCCAGCAGTCTCAAGACCGGCAGTCAGTGTATACTAGTAAGCGGTAAGCGGACTTAGCATGCTACCCAATCAACCAACATTCAAAGAGTGGTAAAGTGACTCCGGTCAGAGAGTGGTGGCCCATTCTGTGTGGAACAGCAACAACATCAAAAGCATAAGACATATCCATCCAAAACCTGATGTATAGTAATACGTTGCCACAATGGGGCCAGGTTTGGCAAAATTAACATATGGTAGTCCATATAAAACAACAAGACATCAGTAAGGGAAGGTACCCCAGTTCATATGGGGTGGTGGACTGACATGGTGGAATGCTGATGATAGGTTGGAGAAGCCCAAAACTTGGGCGTGATAGTCAAAGGTGAGCTGTATGATAATTTTACCGATGTATCCAGGTGCAAGCAATGCCCTATGCATATGTAGCTGTGTGTCGTGTACAGTCAATTAGACACCGGAGTGGTAATTAATAGTCTCCTGCAGGGTATCAATATAATGCAACCCTTACAGTGTAGTGGAGCCAATGACCGTATGGTCGGGTCTAGAGATGAAGATTTGCACAAATGGTGACGGCTGCATCTTTCACAAGGGGTGGACTCCATTTAGATCAGGGAGGGATCTGTCTGCTTATCCCCTTCCAATCAGAGCAGAGCGGGCGGATGAGCCATCCGTGTCCGCTCAGTTTATGTAGAGCAGACACAGACAGAGCCCGCTCTACTCTGTGTGGCCAGGAGTAAACTGACTTCACTGTCCATTTACACCCAACTGCCCTCCTATCTGTCTATGGCTAGACATACCACCTTTATTTTTTTTGCAGACTGGATTGAATTGGAGGTAGGTGGGTGTAAACAGACACAAGTCCATTCACATCAGCCGGTCCATAGGATCTGAAAAATTGACAGGTGGTCACTGATCAGACTCTTTGTGTGAAAATGGCCTAAGCCAATTTCTGTTATATTATTATATTGCTCATTTTACCTGTGCATAAAGCCCTGGATACCTAAAAACAATATCAGCATGCCATCCTCTATTACATTGTTAAAACATGCACAAAAATATATAAACTGTTGTGCTAACTTGTGAGCTGTTAAAGGATGAAGAATGTCCAAAAGTACAGTCTAAATCTCAATAGACCTTAATCATAACTTAATCGGTACAGTCGTATGGTGTCTGTCTTAAAGGTGGGGACATGCTGGATATGGTATTTTCTTGTGCTTTAGAACAGGATCTGCTGTACAATCAACGCAACATCCACAAAAAAAGCCACCTTGGGAAGGACCAGCCTCAGGATGAATAAGCAGAAAAAGCAGAGCACCGGGAGATGTTAGCAATTCTGTTCACTTTATTGAGATTAAAAGAGCATCCACTTACATTTAAAAACAGAGACATCCAGCTTGGGAAAGGGGCAGAGTGACCAATTCACAGGGTGCCACAACATAAGAGAACCAGACAGAGGAGAACCAAAATCCACATACAGCACAGGAGTGCAGTCTCTACAGAAAGACGGTAATTGTGAGCAGCTGGCAATGCCGTGTATAGGACACTCAGGACTGGAACTATGGAGCTGCAGGGGGGACACAGTGCCCATCATACACTGTTCCCCGGTGGTCTGGGATGCAGGCAACACGTTTCTGGGCTATTAGCCCCTTTCTCAAGCCTCCTTTGCTGTATTTGGATCCTGGCTCTCCTTCATCTGGATTTGTTATGCTTTGGAACCCTGTGAATTGGTGACTGCCCCTCTACCAGGCAGCATGTCTCAGTTTTTAAATGTAAGTGGATGCTTTTTTATTCTGAATGAAGTGAACAAAATTTCTGACATTGCTCTGTGCTCTGCTTTTTCTGCTTGTTCTATTACATTGTCAGATTGCTCAATTTACCCATTCATAATGTGCTGGATATCTAAAAAAACAGCAGAAACTTCCAAACTGTTAGACTCTGTTATTAGATAGCTCACTTTACCCATGCATAATGCCATGAATGCTTAAAAGAAGGTGGAGTCAGTCTCTATTACGTTATTACCTTGCTCACTGATATAACTCTGGGGTCTAGAGGGAAAGTGTTTCCACTTATTTACAGAAAGGAGGAGAATACCGAGAGCACCCCACCAAGTGGGTGATACTTATTCATAGTTCAAAGGACCAGGCTGGGAAATGTTGGGTGTAATGGCGGAGCGTGGATGGCATTTCTGTCTGCAAGGTTCCTAGACATTGGGTCTACCAGCTTGTACATGCCAAACAGCTCATCCCATGTTGATAGGAGGGCATTGTGGAGCAGTGGAAGAATGTCCACTCCAGCTTGAGAGACTGGATCAACCTTGGGTGTTCTAAGAACACTGGGGTTCCATCCTCTTTTGTCTCTAATGCATTGCAAACAGAGGTCTTTATCACGTTTTCTGCTAAAAGAACATACATTGCCTGTGGGTTTATATTGTCATATCACTTTTCACCTGCAGGATACCACACCTGTGAATACTAATACTCAAAATATTATTACATTTCAGACATCTTGTTAGATAATTTAGCCATTAAAATGTTTTAAGTAAAGAACAAGTATGACCTAGATTTGTGATCCTTTTCCATTGCTAACCAATGTCCATTATTAATGAAAAATCATAGAGGAAAACAACATGGTTGTAAAGAATATAACATGGTTTTGCCACCATCTTTTTTAAGCTTCAAGGCATTGACATGTGTAGGCAGGTGCAGTCTACATTTTCCACTACAGGTGGCACTCATCTAGAACGACAATGCAGCTGTAGGAGGAAGTCAAGAGAAACTGTGTTTCTCTATGATTCTTTATGATTCCCTTGGTCCCCTGTGGCAGCATTCAGGTTGGCTTTGCTGCTTCATGGTAACCCTGGGGGCCATCTTGGGTCATGCAGACTCTCTGCCCCTGAATTTTGGTGCACAATTGTGAGTTGGCTAGTGTAGGGACAGCCAGGAGCGGACTGACAACTCATGGGGCCCCCGGGCAATAGGGGATCATAGGGCCCCTGTGTCCTTGCCCAAACTCAAAAAAGCCTATGAAAAAGGTACCAGGGGCATCTCATGGGGCCCCCTACTGACCCTGGCCCTTGGGCAGTGTCCGAATTTCCAAATAGTCAGTCCGCCCTGGGGACAGCATAACCGTCGGTCAGGGACAGCACTAGCAGCAGGGAGAAGTTCCAGAGGAGGAGGGAAAGCTTGGGGACTATGTCTACATCGGAGAAAACTCCCTTTGGGTTGGACTTACAAGGCCCCACTCTGCTCCCCTAGACAAGTACTTTCTCCAGCCTGGGCCTATTCAATGCTGACTCTCTGCTCTGACTGTGAGGAATTCCTCAGTCGGGTGTGCCCCGGAAAGTTTTTATACTGTTTTGCAAGTTCTTCAATACATTGTTTTCTGCTATCCAGAACTCTGTGTGTTCACTACCGCCGCACAAAGCTACACCGACCTAACACGTGTACTGATATATCACCATGCAAAGAATTTATCCTAATCTGGATTGTATAAGAATGTTAACATATTCGGTGGCATAAATAAATAAAGAGTATGAGAATGCTGAAATACATACTGATGCAGGCTTTCTTAAGTGTTTTCTACATGTTACAAGGCCTGGGTACTTTGTCATTTGATCACTGCTTAAGGGAAAGACAAGCCAGACTGAGCCATATGTATAACCTTTAGCAGAGATCACATGAGCAATGAGCATTAAAAAAAAAAACTGTGTGGGGGGTCCTCCCCCCAAAATCCATACCAGACCCTAATCCAGCAGTACAACTGGTCAGGAAAGGGGGGAGAGAACGAGCGACTGCCCCCCGAACCATACCAGGTCATATGCCCTCAACATGGAGGGGTGCTTTGGGGCAGGGGATCGCCTCCAGATCCTGCTCCCCCCCATGTGAATGAGTACCCCTACTCAAAAAAAAAGTGTAATGAAAATAAATACAGGAGGCTTTTTTTTCCCCAAGCTCTTTGTTTAAAAAACAAAAATAAAAAATAAAAGTCCCCTTAAGTAGATACAGTATCAATCACAAGCTGCTGCCCTGAAAAAAAAGAAAAAAAAAAAGCTCCACATCTGCATTCTGACAGCTCTGCTCTCTAACAGCATTCCCTGTGTTGGTGACATCATAAGGGGTCTGGGACACCCTGGGACATCATGGCTGGTGGCTCTGCCCCTTAATTATTTAAGAAC